CCTCAACATAGCGGCATGTGCTCCGGTTGTACTGTAAACAATGACATCGTCTATATTGCTTATCAATTTCCCCGGGAAGTAACTCGTTGTAGTCCCTTACCAGTCATTTTTGTAGGCATTAAACTGCCTGAATTTTAAAAGACAATATCTCCGTTTGAATTGAACTTTCAGCTTCGTAACATTGCAGATATTGTTTATGATCAAACAGCAACATTACACACTGACTAACATTAAAAAAGTGAAATCGCAATCAACCACCCCTTTAACAAAATTTTGGAAGGGCAAAACTATTTAAGTTGAACTAATTGTATTGCTTGGGCTTAGTTGAGCAGACATATTATATTAAGTCTGCGCAAATATATTTTAAACACATTAAATGAATGGTTATTTTCAAATCCAGTCAACATTCAGAATGCCATGTTTGACTGAACTAATAAAAACAAATCCAGCCAACACTGAGATCATTCCGCACGTGCTCGAGCCTGAGTGACTTCGCGGGAGAAACAGCGCTGCCATCTTGTCAAGTTCACGTGTCAGGTAAATAAATGCAATTTTTTTTAGACAAAATTTTACGAGAAAATCATGCAACATATTCGATTTTTTTGAGTGGACATTTAGAAAGTGTTTTATGAGTTGTATATCCGGAAAAAAAAGTAGGTATAAGACCTACTTCAGGTAAGTGACACAGAATAAATATTTGTACTTAACGTTAGACTGAATTTATCAAAAACGTATATTTAAAAGGTGTAAATGTTTTATTTAAAACGTATATATTTATACACAAACGTACAACATATATAAATACATCGAAGAAGCGTTGTATGATATGTCTGAGGGAAATTTTATGTGGTTTCACCTTGTTTAACCCATAAAACACTTAATATCAAAAGCTGTGTTACTATAATGAATTTTAGCTAGTGTTGTATGATATTTTTTGTTTCCGTGACGTGAAAAGATATGAAGAGATCACGCGGTCTTTCCCTCTCTTTTATAAGCCATTATGCTTAATACGACTAACGTTAACCGAAATCTATGAAACGTGTAACTTAAATGTAAACCATTAATGTATTGCGCTCATTTGAAGTTAACATGGGCGTGTTGAATGGGTCTTTGCGTGTGTAAACTTTTGCAATTGTCCCGTGAAGTAAAAAGACGGCATTAAACGTCTTCACAGTGATCGCACGTTAATGCCAAGTGTAAACGCAGCCAAGGTTTCATTGGTGCTTTGTCATCATTGCAAGATTTCAGATGCAACCCAGTCAGTTCTTCTAAGGCTCCAAACACTGGCACGTGACCAGACTGCTCCACTGCAACTACATACTGTGTGTACTTTCAAGACTAGGAGTTTATTATTTTCATTCCAGGTAATATGTGTAAATGTTTAGAGTTTTTACTACAATTACAATGTGCTTTACTGTTCTCAGTGGCATCTACGCTAATATTAGTCTGTTTCATTCTTTTTCCGAGGTGAATGTAGTCACCCAGATCCAGTCTGTATCCAGATCAGATGGTGGATCAGCACCTAGAGATGACCTCGACAGCCCTGAATGTCAGCGGAGACCATGTCAGCTAGATGTGCCCCAGAGACAGATCCCCTCTGAAGACCTCGTTGGCCATCGGGACAAGACCACGAGAACCAGACAAGTCCTCTGCTCAATGGCTCAATCTGACATGTGTTGCAGCCTGGAATTAAACAACACCATGCTGGTTTCGTCTGGCCAGAGGAGAACTGCCCCCCGACTGCCTGGTTGATCCCAAGGTTTTCTACTCAATCTCTGTCACCGATGGAGATTTGGGTCCTTGCCACTGTCGCCTTTGGTTTGCTTATTTGGAGACGCTTGGCTGATTGCACAGACATTATTGGAAGAGAGCTAAACTGGATGATGTCAACACTGAATCACCAGTGAACTGACTTTAAAGGGATAGTTCACCCAAAAATGAAAATGTGATGTTTATCTGCTTACCCCCAGGGCATCCAAGATGTAGGTGACTGTTTCTTCAGTAGAACACATTTGATGATTTTTAAGTCCAACCGTTGGAGTCCATCAGTCTTATAATGCATGGCAATGGTAACAAAGTCTATGAGTGTAAAAAAACATGCACAGACAAATTCAAATTAAACCCTGCGGCTCCTGACGACACATTGATGTCCTAACCACCCCGTCCCTTAATCGCTGCCCTTCGCCAGGCTCCCGACATGAGATGGTGCATGTGAGAGGAGGGGCGCTGAAATAGCCAGGGCTGGCGGATAAACAATTATATAAATACTGTTCGGCTTCTGGCACAAACCGATTGTTTCGTGTGTTAGGACATCAATGTGTCGTCACGAGCCGCAGGGTTTAATTTGGATTTGTCTGTGCATGTTTTTTTTACACTCATAGACTTTGTTACCATTGCCATGCATTATAAGACTGCTGGACTCCAACGGTTGGACTTAAAAATCATCAAATGTGTTCTACTGAAGAAACAAAGTCACCTACATCTTGGATGCCCTGGGGGTAAGCAGATAAACATCAAATTTTCATTTTTGGGTGAACTATCCCTTTAACTGGAAAAATGACTTGTTAATGTCCTCTTTCATTATTGACAAACTATTTTCCTGTTTGACTCTGTAAAGCTGCTTTGACACAATCAGTATTGTATAAAGCGCTGTGTAAATAAAGGTGACTTGATTTGAATTTATATACTGTAACACCTGATTCAATTTATTTATTTTTTACTTCTGCCTCATTTTAAATATGTAATTGGGAACAGTAATACTATATTTGTAAATGTTTGTTTGCTAACATTTTGTTTCGTTTTTTCTTAGTTCATTAAACAAAGTTTAAACTGAATTTTGCAGTTGTTTTACAGATGTAATGTTTGTCAACTGGAGCTTTAAAGGGATAGTTCGCCCACAAATGAAAATTTGCTGTTAATTTACTGACCCTAAGGCCATCCAAGATGTAGGTGACTTTTTTACTTCATTCCTGTATGTTTAGTTTATATGAAAAATGTTATATATTGAGATTATTAAATAAAGGCTATTATGTGTTGTAAAGTGTGTTTTTAGTGATTGATAAACACCAGTTAATTATTTTAAACTGAAAATATATGTTTATGTAGTTCCCAGCAATTTCTTATGATGCCCAAATAATAAATCTTAGTTGAGGCAGCATATAAAACACATAGAGTAAACGGTTGAATTTTAATTGACATAACTTGCTGCAGTCTTCTAAATGTTTGACCAATTAAAACATTTTAGTTGAATGGACTATAAAACTAGTTCACTAAAGGAACTTGTTACTAAATAATAATTAGTTGAAACCGCTTGAAATTTTTTACAGTGAGGGAAAACCCTGAACTAGACTGCCCTTGTGAAAAAGCAGCACACTTTGCCATACATTTTAAGAGTGCTCATCACAGAAATAATATACTTAAAACAATATACTTGCGTGCAAACTGAAAGTAATAATTTCAGACACTTAATTACATGTTATTTGAACGTATGTATTATAATATAAGTTAAGCGTAATAATGCTTTTAACATACTTGCATAGAAAATAAGTTCATGTAATTTCATAATCACTTCTATTGTCTTGGAAATATGATTAAAGTGCACTGCTGAATATTGAAAATAAACTAAAATATACTTCAATGACAATTTTGTTGAAACTTGTACATGTATATATATTTTAATTACACATTTATAATGATAAAGATGTATACATTTAACTATATTTACACAGAGTTAAACTTATAATCCAGTACTGACATGTGCTTTAGTATGTCAGTCCACAAATCAAATAAAGCAGTTTAAAGATTATTAAAACAAATGTATTTCAAAGTAAATCTTTTCATTTGAAAGTAGCTATTACAAAGTTATTTTTTTAAAGTGAATTTATATTGTCCCAAGAAACAAAGTCATGAAAGTGTATTCTCATTAAGTACACTTAAATTGCCTTTTATTTAATTACACATGTTGTGTATTTGGTGTAATGCAATGTTTTTATGCGGTTTAAAGTAAAAAAAAAAACGCTATTTTCCACAATGTACATTATTGTTTCTCCTCTATGCCCCGCCTTTTTGAAACGCGTCGATTTTTACAAAGCTCATCGGTCTGAAAAGCGAGGTATGCTCTGATTGGCCAGCTATCCAATGCGTTGTGATTGGCCGAATACCTCAAGCGTGAGACGGAAATGTTACGCCCCTACCATACTGTTGATGCTGTGACATTAAAAACATTAAAACCCATTACAAACGAGGCATTTGTTGCATCCAGTGGGGACATAATTACTGATTATAATGACTTATTGGATGAACATTTGGGCGGCATTATGCAAATCTTCCCACACAGTGATGTAGACATGTGGGGGCATGTTAGAATGAGCATTTTAGGATGGCGTGGACAAGTCTTAACTTTTATAAAGAATATCTCTTTGGATTTGAGACTTTAGTCTTTGCAACTTTACAGATCTTCTTTATGCACCAAGAGCTTGTAACACTCCAAAGAGAAAGGAAAAATTTAAATCGCATCATATGACCCCTTTAAGATTTGAAGTAGGCCTAAACTGCAAATGCACATTCAAGCACACTTCTTTTTTCACAAGGGTAGATATTGCTGTAGCCTATTTGATTATAAATTCTCTTGACCTGTGTCTTTGTGAAATATGATCAAATAATGAGAAACTAGACTGGAAATATGGAAAGTCATTTCGAATAGTGTGATATAAAGTTTCAAAGTTCGCAGAAACGTCCATGATCCTTCCATCCTCAGATAGTCTGTCATATGTGGAATGTTGAGCGGCAATGATTCTCATAAATAAATTGTAAACTCTACAAAAGCATGATGTTCCATTCGGAACTGGTGCAACTTCACTGGCCAATTCCTAAAAAGCCTGAATATTCATGACGACGATGTAGTTTGTAGTCATGGAGACTCAACACAATAGGTCGACGTGCCTCTCTCTCTCTCTCTCTCTCTCTCTCTCTCTCTCTCTCTCACTTCGGTCGGTGAGCTCCAGCCCTTTCCATCCTCTCCTAAAGCCTCTTACTTTGCGCATGTACAGGCAAACTGAAAATTTCATCGACTCCAAGATGGCGTTAACACCACTGGCTTGCGTTCTGCTTCTCCTTTCCATGCAATGTGAGTACGCATCCCCACACTTTTATACTGTCTTTATAGAAGAGGCAAAGGTGATGCAAATCGTGGTGAATCATTTATCAAAGTTCTCGAAATGTGTTTCAGTGAACATCCTGTTTCACAGAAGTGCTTGTCTCTTTAAGCCAACTAAACTATTGAGCTAACCCGTTAGCTCCTTTAGATGAGTTGTTAGATGTGGCTGTTGAATCCAAAGTGGGATAAAAGTAACATTTTCGGGTGGATGTGGGGTGTTGTAGTTGTTTCGCACTGGAATGTTCCTCATCCCGCTCGCATCCCGCTCTGCGTGTTTGTCCGACTGTCTATAAATAATCCGCACGCCAAAATAATTCCCTTATTCTATAGGTTACATGAGTTGTTTACGGGAATATTAAATTTGCTTTTTAAAGCTCAGCCTTCATAATCCCATAAAACACACATAGAAAGTTGTTTTAGTGCTGTGTTTTGTTTCGCTGGATCGTTCGGCTCAATTCTTTGTTCACGCTTTAAAAGTTTTTGAAATGACATTAACAAATGAGGACTGAGTGGTGTTTTGGTGTTGTTTTTTCAATTTTGCTTTTTTAGAGCAGCCATGCGTTCGTTAGTTTTGGGTGTTTTTAACTATTAGAAACTGTTTGAGTTGAAGCGGGGCATGTTTATTGCGAGATAACGGTTTTCTGCCTGAAGTGTTCGCGAGAGGGGATCAGGCGCCAAGCTTTAGCACGCGCTTTGATTTCTGAATTTGCAGCATATTATACTCCAGCCTTAAGTTTAGGGCTCGGGAGAATAATTAAAAAGATGGCTTTTTTTTTTGTCCCGGATCGTTTGAAAAATGATCGGTATTATTACTTGATAATAAGGCTTCAGTCTAGACCAATAGCTTAATTAAATTCAGTCAGAAGATTGTGGACTGAAAAAAAAATCAGTAGCTTTGCCGTTGTAAATCATTCATATTGACATTGAAAATTGGACGTTGGACCTTTATAATGGTTAAACGTAGGCTCTTGTAGAAACATCTCCTGTGACATCTCCTTATTCAAGTGTGCTGCCTGGCTAGAGAATAATTAAAAAGATGGCTTTTTTTTTTGTCCCGGATCGTTTGAAAAATGATCGGTATTATTACTTGATAATAAGGCTTCAGTCTAGACCAATAGCTTAATTAAATTCAGTCAGAAGATTGTGGACTGAAAAAAAAATCAGAAGCTTTGCCGTTGTAAATCATTCATATTGACAGATTGAAAATTGGACGTTGGACCTTTATAATGGTTAAACGTAGGCTCTTGTAGAAACATCTCCTGTGACATCTCCTTATTCAAGTGTGCTGCCTGGCTTAATTACAGACTACAGCACTAAATACTGCTGGTAAGTCTGTGTTGTGTTGTGTTGTAGTACATATAGCCTACTCTAAAATGTACCATCTCTCTCTTTCTTAATTTATGTTAACATGATTTTCCCCTTATTTATTTGTTAATTCATTTATGTTTTTGAAAAGGAGAACAATGTTTAAAATCTGTTTTGCAATTAGATTTGGCAAATTCAGTAGTCACTTAAATCTATAAATATTTATCTGACTGTAAATTAAAAAGGTAATCTTTTACATTACAGTGGTTATGATACACATTTTTTAAAATGTAAATGCTTATGTAAATACATTGCAGCTAATGTGGAGTGTGATTTTAAGCAATTTTACGCATAAATCTATGAGTTCCTTGAAATTTCAATCTGTGTAATGCAATTTGGATTAAAGTTAAGTTATAGTTTAAGTCACCTCATCAACAGAACCGTCGAAAGTCTTTGCCAAAAGCAGTTTCTCTGTGGTGTGTTATACCTTATATGTTTAAAAGCCTGTGTCTAGTCTCTGGAGTGTATTTGTACAGTGGAAACTCTCCGGTGTCTTTTGCCAGCACTTTTGGTGCCAAGTTATGCTTTACTGGATAGGATAAAATAGATTCAGGAATAGTACAAAGGTTGAGATCACACCCCATATTTTAGATGAATACTTGGACGAGTAGTAGCCTTCCATTTTAGTCCACAGTGAACGCTCCAAACTTTGGAGAAACGTGGTGTTGTGAAACATATTCACCATTGTGTCGCCTATCAAAATGCTGATAAGTGTCTGCTCATGAGGTTAGTACTTCAGATGTGATTAAATACAGCTTAAAATAGTGAAAAAAGTGATAGCTTTGTCCCTAGAAGGCTGAGTGTGCTTTCTCTTCCACCCGCTGCTTCCTAGCAAATGGCTTTCTGGGGGTTCATGAAAAGCATGCTGGACCTTCTGGGCATGTCCATCAGTTACAGGCTGACATTTTTGATGTGTTCAGTAAGCGACAGAGAGAAATATGCACGGAAAAGATAGCTGTTCTCTGTGATCTTTACCCAGGGCTGTTGCGGACAAAGACACGTTGCCCTTCCGTATGTGCTTAGGTTCGTTTTAGTTGGAAGGTACCACGTGAGAAAAATATGTTGTAAACAGCATCTTGTGTTCCTAAAGGCAGTTTATCGTCACTGTATAGTGATGAGAAAAATTCCAGACGGGGGGTCCCAGCATAATCCGCATGGGTACCAGGACAGGCAGCCTGTCGTGATGAAACATGCTGAGTCTTTGAGCAACAGGAGAACGGCACATGTCCGGTCAGCTAGCTGGAGTAACCCGGAGTAACATGCAGAAACAGCTGAGCGGCTGTGGGTGCGAGTGAAGGGAGGACCCCCCTGACACGGAGCTGAAATATGTCCCACTCAGCCCACCACAGATACTCAGCATTAAGAACAAATGTGGAATGCTCACCCATAAACATAAGTCTTGAGATTTTATTCACTTCATATGTGTAAGAGGTGAAAATGATTATAAAAGTGTCAGTTGAGTATGAAACATTTAGCATTTTCAGTATTAAAAACAAAGTCATACGTGTTAAAAGGAAATCTGAGAGATTCTTATGAAATGGAAATCCCTCTGAAAGAAACATGAAAGGTGTTTTTACTTCTTCTGTGCTTATCCTGCTTTTATTAATTTGGAGCTTTTGGTAAGCAGTGACAGATGTGGAAGGGAAAGCCTAGAACTAACAGATTCACAGGTCAGGAATGGCAAGCATGTGCATTCCCTAAATGTCAATAAGACTTCCATGTGTAAGATGGGCATTGATCAAAATAGTTCCTGACTGCGGTGCTAGATATACTGGAGCTCAAGGAAAGGAGTAGGATTAGGACAGACCCCATTTTTATTTTGCGTCATTCCTGTATGACTTTCTTTTTTCTTAGGACCTCAAAAGAAGGTATTTTGAAAAACAGTTTTAAACATAAAGTCAAAGGGGTCCAAAACACCACTGGACTCCTTTGACTTTCATTGATAAGAATAATTCTGGGGACCTGTTACCACAAATAAATGCATGGTTGCAAGTTAAAAATTCTGATTTAATGGTTAAATTAAACCTTTTAAGTTGCAAACATTATTTTGAAAGTTCAGTTGACATAATGCGCTTCCTTTGAATGTTCGAAGCGCTCCCACATTAAGCACTTTTAAGAAACTGTTGAAAATCCACCTTTTTAAAATTGCCTACCATGATTAATTGTTAGCTGCTTACTACTGAATCATCAAGGAACTGACTTTAGCTGGAAAAATGACTCTTTGTTATTGTCTTCTTGCATTATTGACAAACTATTTTCCTGTTAGACACTGTAAAGTTGCTTTGACACAATCAGTATTGTATAAATCGCTATACTAATAAAGGTGACTTGACTTGACTAGTGTTGAATTGTTTTATATTGTTGTATTATTTAATGTATTCTTTGTATTTTACATGTCTTTTTACACTGTTGTAGCAGTGCATTATAAATACAATTTATTATTATTATTATGTTGGTAATTTGAGTTGTAGTAACTAATTGTCTTGTTAACTTTTGGAAATTGAGCAGTTTTGTGGTCACCACTGTGCGGTAGATGTGGTTAGCTTGTTGGTGGCTAAGGTAAACACTACATTGGCTCTATGAGCAATGATTGATATGAGGTAATGAGGTAATATCTTACTTGTTAATTAAATTTGCTATTTTACAAAGCCAACACATTATTTTTTAGAGTTTAAAATTGTTTTCAAATGTTCTTTTCCACAGAAGAAAAAAAAACATTTTTGGGTTTGATTTGGAATTCATTTTGGGTCATTTTTTAATCTTCCCTTTATATCATGACTAATATTTCTTAAACAATGTTCATGTAATTATCATAATACATAAATAGTGCTTGTATATTGCCTTTTCAATTGCTTGTTTACTCAAGATACAGTTCTTCTTTGTTTATTTCAAGTTTGGGTGACGATTTATGAATACTGAAGACCGTTTAGATCATTTCCTGTCACTGAATACTGTCTTATCACATCCTTCCGGAGGAAAAGGCTGTGCCTGTGCAAATTTTTTCCTTAACTTTGTCTTTGCCAGATGCTTGTTAGAGTAGGTGAATCAGTTGGATACTGTCGGCTTCATGCAATAATTACTTATTAGCCAATTTCAGAGACTGAGATAATGAGTGTCTCTTTCCCCTTCAGTTTTCATTTTCAAATCGACTTGTTTCGTGTATGGAGCGATTTCAAATTGAACCTTGATTTATAATATAATCACAAAGGTAATTAGTATTGCTAAAAATAGAAACAGATCATCTGACAGCCGCTGGAATCAAATGCGCTCTCTGGAAACAAGCCATGATTATAAGCTCAGAAATACATACGACAGTAATAGTTTGAATTGAACTGAAATTCTAATTGTGATATTTTCTGTTGGTTTTATATCACATACAGACTATTTTTGCATTCCATTGATTTCTATGTAAACGCGTAGTTGTGCTTGTGTCTGACGTCTTTTGCAATGTCTGCCGCATAACACACCATTCTGAAAACACACTGCTAATCTTTTATTCATTCCACTGCCCTGCATCTAATGATGTGTAAGGACAGTAAACAATTGCATATAAGATTTTTGTCTCGGTTAAACGGAGTGGCATCTTCATTCCCAGCTGAAACATC